CGACGCAGCCCAGCGCCAGGCCGACGCGGAGGAAGGCCACGGCGATGGCCGCCCCAGTCGTGCCCGCATGAGGGAGCGAGGCCCCTCTAGGCAGCAGCAGTCGCCGCAGGTCAGCGGCGGACAGGATCGAAGATCTGGGAATGAGACCTCGGGGCATGCGGGGAAGAACCGCTGCCAATCAGGCCGTGTACTGGTGGACTCCTACAACAATTGAGTCCTCCAGACGCTCCCACCACATGGTGTGCTGCATCCGACACAAGTGCGGCCCCTCTGCGATGCTGCACATGTTACACCATGTCAAGTGTCCCTTGGCGTATCTTCTTCAACTGAATGCACATCCTGTGCATGACGATAAGAAAAACTCGCAAACGGCCGCCGCGCGAGACAACCGCTTCGGCGCAGCAGGCTCCAGCAGAGCAAACGAATAGCTTCGAGTCCCCTGAAGTCTCGCCTTTCCGAGAGCAGCTGCATGCATCCACGGTGTGATCCGCACAAAACAATCACCCATGCGATTGCAATCGAGCCAGCGTCGTAAAATGAGATCCTCCACTCCGACGCCTGGAACAACCCAGCAACGAAAACATCGAAAGTCTGCCCTGTGATCCTCTCTAAAACAAGCGTGAGACCAGGTGCATACAACGACACGCGACTGCATGCCAATTCAGCTGATAGCATTGATGGGCTTGTTTTCCATCACCACCACCACCACCATAATTAAGTTGGAGGGGAGAAGGAGGTGGAGGATGACGAGTAGGAGGACGAGGAGGAGGATGAGGAGAACGAAGAGGAGGAGGAGAACGAAGAGGACAAAGAGGAGGAGGAGGAGGAGGAGAGGGAGGAGGAGGAGGAGGAGGAGGAGGAGAAGGTGGGGGAGGTGGAGGACGAGGACGAGGACCCCCCCCCCTTCAACTTGTGGTGGTGGTGGAAAACAGGCCCAACAGCTGATAGCATACTTTGAGATGAGAGCATACAGCCCTCCGAATCCTCACTCCTTCCATCCCCACCTCCTTCCCCCCCTTGTCGCGCACACCCCTCCCTCCCTCCCGTCCCCTCCCCCGGCCCTGTCCCTCCCCCTCCCCCCCAGTCCGCCCTCCCCCACCCCTCCAACCTCCTCCCGACTGACGACTCCACTCGGGGCAGCGCGAGCTGAGACAACGGCAGCTCCAAATCGATCCCTGGACCCCTCCCGGGATCCGAACGCACTAAAATTTCGAGCTGCGTCCAGCCGTGGCGACGAGGGGGCCCGCCGAAGGCCAACTACCGTTGCCTCAGATGGCCCTCCTCTGAGTTCATTGCCGCACGGAATGCAGTTTCTTCGCCATGGCCTGCAAGTGCCAAACGAATCGAACATTTCATCAAAAGTCTTCCGTTGACGCTTTACCTCGTGTAGCGGCGACGCCGCAGCATGTCATGCATGCTGAATACAGGTGCTGAGTGCGTGGCGCACGGCGCCCCCGCCGACCCGTTGGAAAGCCATCACACGGTCCCACGGGACGTGTCCGGCGTCCACCCGTGACGACGAGGGAGGCCCCCGAAGGCCAACTACCATTGTCTCAGCTGGCCCTCCTCTGATCCTTTGCCGTCCCTGCCCGCGTCGGCGACTCCGAGGCGTGTGGCTTGCCAAGGGTGTGGTTCGCAGCCCGCGCCCGGGGCGGGCGAGGACCCCGACGGAGATCTCTGCCGCGCCCCCCGACCAGGGCTCAGCACGTCTGGCGCAACGTGGCGACGTTACACGGGGGAAGCGGGCCCCGAGGGAAACAGGTACTGGGCCTTCGGGCCTTCCCCTGGGACCCCGTGCTCGTCCTGGGTCGCTGTCTGAGAGTCCTGGGGCCCGTGGCGGGCCCCGAGAGCCCGAACGCGGCAAAAAAAGGCCTCGGGACCCGTTTCCCTGAGGAACCGTTTCCCCATATGGCGAGTGACCCCCGAAGCCTCAGCGGCGCCGATCGCAGACCACACCCCGGCGTACCGCGGGCTCGTGCAGTGTCGACCCTGGCGTTGGTTCCTGACACCGCGGTGATCGGTCTGCCTTAAACGATCGTCTGTTTCCGATCGTCAAACATCGACCGCTTCTGGGTCAACTGCGGCGCTCCACGCTGTAACGCCGGCGGCGGAGTCGCCACTGGTCGACACGACGCGAACCTACCGTAACCACACCCATTGTGGTCTCCTCCCTCCTCCTCCCTCCTCCTCCTCCTCCTCCTCCTCCTCCTCCTCCTCCTCCTCCTCCTCCTCCTGGCCCTCCTCCTCCTCCTCCTCTCTTGCCTTCATCCCTCCCGCCGCGCAGACGTCCTCGCCCAGTGAGCGATTGGTACCGCAATTTTCTCCGTCGTCCGTCGTCGCTGTGCTCGTTCGTCCATCGTGCTCGTCCTCGCCTTGGCCAGTCGCCGTCGCGGTCGCATCGGCGGCTGCCGCTGTATTCTCTGCAAGGACTCCTCCCTCCCACGCGCACCCCCTCCCCTCCTGTCGCGAGATACTCGGGCCCGTGCGCGGTGGCGTACACCTCCGCGCGCACAGCCCCACGGGGAACGCGCGCGCTCGCCCGCGCGGGCGCCGTCGGGGAGCGATGCCACCGTGATACCACTGCGTCACCCGAACCTGCAGCGAGAACGGCACCGACGACGCGGAGCAGGAGGATTTTTTAAACATCGACGCAAAGCTGCCAACTATTCAACCATGGGCTGGCGAGGTCACATGGAGGGACTCGTACTCATGCCGCTCTGCCCTTCCTCTGTAAGCTGGACAAAAAGTGCACACGCGTAATCTGTTTAACCTGAGCCAAACTCTGAACCTTCAGGTCTGCTGTGAGAGTTGTGGCCGCTCGACGCGGCGACCTCCAGCCTGAGTGCCGAAGCGACATTTCTAAGTGCAGAGGCAGCGTCGGGAGAGGGCGGCACTGCACTGGCCTCGAGACTGGCGCCAGGATCGAGCCCAAGGGCAAACGCTGGCACCACAGGCGCATCAACAATCCTCAGATTCTTGTCTCTGGGATGGAAGCCTGACGAGATCTTGTTGAAATTGGTTTTGCCGTGTCTGCTGAGCTCCGTGAGGCACCTGCCAGCAAAGTTGCTCTTCACTAGCGCTCCCTGGTGGAGGAATGCCCCGCAGCTCAGACACAAGAAACAATCGGAGCCGTCCGACAAGTGAAAAAGCGCCGGCTTGTGACCGTTAGACTCGGCCGCGTCCATATCATGCTGGCGGGGTCCAGCACACCTCCCTGGCTCAGGCATCACCACCGACCTGGAGCCCTTCCTACACACAGCTTACCGCCAGACATTCCCGAACCTTTGCCAATCGTGCTGCTCCACTGGCTGCACCTCTTGAACTCAACCCCATTCAAGTCAAGTCTCGGCCACTTCGGAAGCAGCTTGGCGGCTAGCCTACACACAGTTTTAGAGATCCGCACCAGTCTGTCAACGGTTTCGTGCTCCTCCGACGAGGCCTGAGGGCGGAGTCGGGCACCTTCACGCGCAGCTCTGTCAGCGTGATCGTTGCCCTTCCTCCTGAACAATTCCTCCGGCGACAAATCAGGGTCGTCAACCGAGAGGTGAGCACGAACTTTCGTGAGCGACTTGAGGCGAGACACAGGATTGACATATTGGAAAATCCCTGAAGATTTGCGCCTGTACGAAAGCCGCTGAAAGGCGGTAGGCTGCGGTGCCCCACCACCGCGGCACAGTCAGAGTAAACGTGGCTGTCTCCAACAACCTGCAGCGCAACCATCCCGAACGCTGAAAACTCAGCAGCAGGGGCCGACTGCGGCAACGGGTGGTGCACTGGGCCGAGGACGGAACAAAGCAGCTCCCCACCCTCCGCAACCTGGCACACACTCCAGCCTGCACGCCCTAAATCAGCGATTGGATGCTTGAAGAACGACCCGTCCACAAACCGGCCCCCTTGCAGGTCCCCATCTTCCCCTTCACGGTAGTTGTTCGATCTGACCACCCGGGCGTCGACCGAACGAGGGTTGGGCCAGAACGACCCGGGGTGGGCAAAGGCGCCCCGAGTGAACAACACAAGGTCGGAAGGGGGAGAGATCGCCATCGGACTCGGCCCGCACTGAGGCCGCGGCAAGTTCAGCTCGCTCATCTGCGCAAGCTTCGCACTGCCACAACCGATGAAATATTGAGTCCGTCGCCTTGCCGCAAAGCGGGCAGAGCTGCTGCTGCTCCGTCAGCTGGTACCCGAGTCTGGTCGTTCGCTCAGCTGTCCAGCAGCCGTCGCACGCCAAGCATCGGATGGAGCCGCGCTCCAGAGGCGAATACTTGCTCGACTTAGCCTGGGCCTTCACAATATCAAAGCAAGCCCTGCCCCATCCTTCCCCAATCTTGTTAGCCGCCGAGACCTCGAGGAGCCGGATGACGGCCTTCTGGAGAATGCCCTCGAGGAACTGGGGGCTGATGAAAGTGAGCACGACGTCGACACCAGCGCGGTCACGAAGCACAGCAAAACTTGGCATAGCCCACCCAAGTCTTTTAACGGAAAGGAACAGGGCCCCAACGGGGCCGCACACCGCACTCCATTTCGCAGGTTGCCTGTTGGGGCGCTCGAAGATAGTGGCCCAGGCTTTCCTCAAGTCAGGGAGAGGAATGTAATACAGGAAGGCATGGCACTGACCTGCCCATATTTCCTTACTCAAGCGCACAGTAGGAGCAACAGCTGCATACCAACATGGGTCGTCGCCACAGATCAACGTCGCAGTAAGCGACCTCCCTCCAGCTGAAGGTCGCATGCATTTCCCCGCCTGCACTCTGAGAAATTCCAATTCCCTGTCACTGGCCCCGTGCACTTCCGCCCCATAAGTGATGCCCGGCAGGGGCCCACTCGCAAAGATACGCCGAGCGGGCGCTCCAAGAAACTTGCGCTGACATACGATGCGGCGAACACGCGCACGAAGGTGAGCTGTCCGCTTCTTACGCTCGACAGCTCCACCACGAACTCGGAGCGGGCGGCCAGCAGCATCATCGATGCCAAAATTGGTGGCCGAACCCGTGAAACCTTTTCCCAGAGACCTTTCCAAGCACCTGCTCCAAGAGACGTCCGAGTCGAGGGCAGCTAGCGATCAAGCCGGCCTTGTCTGGAGAGATCGCGAGGCCTAAATCCACGGTGATGGCCCGATACACTGCATCCGCCCCAGACTTCAAACCTTCCAGGACCTGCGGAAGCGCCCCACGAGCAGCCAGGCCGATGTCGTCGATATATAGGTCGAGCTGAACAGCAGGGCGAAGTGGGATCCTCGAGAAAGCCTCCATGTAAAAAATGCGCACGAAGGTGGTAGCCATACTGCAGCCTGCAATGACACCACGGAGGGCCCCTATGAAAGGCCCTGCTAGGAAACCAACAATATTGATAAAACGAGCTGGTCGATAAGTTCCAATGCAGAGCCAAGCGACAACAATCGAGAATCCATGATCGATGCACTTCTGCATGAGCGATTCGAGGTCGATCAGCTCATAGAACTTGTACAAGTCCCACAGCAGGCTGGCGGCCACGAGGCCAGATGAATGAGCCTGCTCGCTGGCCAAGGCTTGGCGCCAGACCACGTCTGACGCGCTCTTGAAGCCGTGCCCGGCGAAGAAGGACTGGAGGTGAGTCTTTTCCCACTCCAAGGCCACGGACCGACGTATTTTGCCCCAGATGCGGCAGGGAGCCGTGAAAGTCCCAATCGGCCTCAGCCCACCAAGGGCCTTCGGGATCATCGCCAGCATAACGAGCCGAATCTGCACAGGCAACGAGGACATGATTTCGCAAACCATGAGAAGCGACGCGAAAGCACTCAGGGCCCCGTCCGACAGGAAACTGAAGTGCTTCATGTGGAACCCGTCCACCGACACAGCCGACCTGGTGCCGTAGGACCGACTGGCGGTCCTCAAAGCTTTCAACCGAGATCCGAGGGAGAGGCTCCAGGGGAACGAAATACGACGGCTCGGGAAAACACTCGGTGGAGTCTTCGGCCAGCCAAAGATCTCGAAACTTCTCGCCTTCTGCCCGCAGCAAGGCAAGCGGGTCGGCAATGACCTGTCCATCAGCAGAAAGAGTGGTTCAGGGCTGCCACGCCTCAACAGGTTTCGTCCAAAGGTGGGCATTGCGCCCCCCCTTGTCCAAATCCTTCGGAAGCCAAGCTTTCCACGACCGCTCCCCCTCCTGCCGGGCTCGACTGGACTCCAAGTCGAGCACAGTAGCAAGCCGTTCAAGAAGAGATGCGGCGAGGTCCCGTGAGCAGCCAGAACGCACAGCCTCCTGAACAGAACCGAACAGGGGGGCGTGCTCACTCCGATGCAACTGCTCAACCAAAAAACGATTTGGCTCAAGCAGGACCTTGGACCGCGAGGAGAGGTCGGCAGCAGCAGGAGGCTTAACGGGTTCAGCACCTCCAGAAGCCCCGGCGCGGGGCTGCACGTCGGAGGCCGCCGACAAACCAGGCCACTGCGAAGTCGCCCAGATCCTGAAAGAGTGAGCCAGCCACCTCACAGCATACAAGAGGGGATGTCGGTGAGGCCGACTATCCTTCCTATGAATGTCCACCCACCACAGTTGCGGATTCTCACCCCTACACCCGTATTTCGGCAGCTCAACTTGCAACGAGCGCGCAAGCTCGCGCTCGGCAAGATTGGCCCAAGAGCGGTAAAGGTGAACGAATCCCTTGTGGGCCTGCCTATCCCCCGTCCTGGCACACTCCAACACTTCATCCGCAAGCTCGGACACAGAAGACCAATCGGGCGGCTCGGGGCACGGGCCGATCGGGGCCGAAGGCGGAAGACGGGGAGGTTTCCGAAAGGAGAAGGCCTTAAGCTCATACAGACGGGGGTGGAAACTTAAGACCACTGGGGAGTGAGGGGTAATGGGAGCCAGGGCGTCAATACTGATGTCCCGAACTCCTTTGGAGAGCCCGCTGGACACAATGAAGTTGTCGTAGTTATTCCTCCCCTTGGTGGAAGTAGAGGTGCAAGTGCCGAGCACGGTGTCAATCAACTGGGCAGCAAGATCCTCGACAAACTTACAAGCTCCTAGAAGCGCTGGTGGCATGTGAAAGTCGCCACCGATGATGTACGACCTGAGACATTTCGAAACCAGACCACCTATCTTGTAGAGAATGAACATGTTGTGGTCCGACAGGTCCTGGCAATCATGCAAATAACAACTGACAACCAAGAAGGGATCCTGCCCGGGAAGGTTCACCTGAGCAGCTATAGCCCGATGCGCAACAACTTGGGAACCAGTCGAAGGAGCAGCCAGGCCTAAGAAGCTACGGCAAACCACTGCCACCCGGCCTGAGGTGCCGGAGGCTGGCGTGAATCTCGCAGGTTCGAACAATCCTTTCCAACCTTTCCTTAGCAGCCAGTTCTGGGCCTCAGGGATCCGATCTTCGCACAAATGGGTTTCCTGAAGGAGAACGATGTAAGCGCTGCACGTGAGCAACCAATCCTGGGCCGAACTCCACGACGTGCAATTGCACGTGCACGTTTTGAGGGCAAGCTGGTCCCGACCTGGGTACACAGCCGG